ATTCATGAAAAGAGGATGGCTGCCGGGCCGAGTTCATACAAATTTTTCAGTGTTGCTCGCCATGGAAAACAGCATGAAATTTATGAGTAAGTATTCACACATGGAAAATACATTTTGTCAGTGAGTGTATGAAATTTGATATAAAAACCAAATTAATTCACAGACACGAAGAGTCTGAAGAAGAAGTTTACGAATATGAAAGTCATGTTCCAAAACGTGCACCCGCCCAAGCTTATGAATATGTAAAAGGTGAGTAGAAAATAAACGTTTCTATAATTACTTAATTTTTTTGTGCTTGCAAATAAGTAAATAATTTGATCTTGAGCATTCAAATTAACCTTCGAAAGCTTTTAGAAATAACTTATAATTCAAATAATCAACAACACCTACTGAAATAACAAATACTGCTATAAAAGTAAAAATTTTAAATACAGTAAGTAAATAAATATTCAAAAAATGGAATCTTATCACAAATTCCACATTAGAAACGGTCTCAAGCTCAATAAAATTGTTGAATGTAAATAAATAAATAAATACAGTAAATTTATTTATAAACGATATAATAAATAAATGTGTAATAAAGTTATCCCATCAACAGCACCTTATAAACGTCCACCCACCGCCATATATGGAACTGAATTAAAGCGCACGCGCGACACAACTATCAAATCTTATAAACCACCATCATTTGGAATTACTAAGAAATATAAATAAAAATAAGTCCTAATAATAAAATTGTTAAAGAAATGCTAATAATCGAATCCCAAAATATAACAGTATATAACGTATACATAACTGGTATATGAAAATGTAAATGGCTATAACAATACCAATAACCACGCAAAGGTGGGCATAAAATGTAAAACAAAAATCTTCTAATCTATTGAGCCAACATAACCGAAATATGAAATATAATTACGTACATATAACACCTAATAAACCTAATAAACGTATTGTTTATCGTTGCATTAAAAATATACATACCTACCTACTAAAATCAGAATTTAGTTTCTTTTTACAGCTAATGACGTAAGTATGGGTGCGCTAAGAAATGCATCAAGCCAAAGCATCAGTCTCTTTAACTTCTAAACTACAACTGATGGAAATGCCTTATTTACGCAATTACCTTCTAATTATGAATTTAACCGTGGTTACGCACATTGGGCATTCCCATCAATTACCGTTTAGAAATAAAAGCGTCTGATGCTTTGGCTTGATGCATTTCTGAACACACCCATGATAACTTGTTTGTAACGTTTATTCCACACGAAGTCCAAATAAATGTCGCACAAAATAACAAGTGTTTTAATTCATTCGATGGGGTTTTTAAGAAAGTACCTTTATCGCCATATATTAGATAGGTAGTTCCACCTAATGGCATTAGCAGCCATTTGACTTGCTGGTCCTATGACATTTTTATCGAAATCTAGCTATCAGATTAGACGTTTAAATAAAGGGCCTATTTATTATTCAGAGTGTCAAGATTTGGCGATTTCGGGCCAATTAGCTTGTAAAACTGTCAAACAGCAAAATTACTCTCTGAAGTGAGAGTAAAAGGTGAGTAACAACAAAAAGTACGGGAACAAAAAAAAACCATTTTTCATGTAAAAACGTCAACCAGTGATTGTTTGACACTTTTCATGATTTTACCAGAAGAAAAAGTTCGAGTAAAATCTTGCAACTTCATTCTCTACACAACTCTCCAAAAGTTGCTCTCATTTACAGGATTTTGGAGGATTTCGGAGTACGGGAATATTTTTCCTGCAACTTCCTGCAAGTTCGTGTAAATTCCGTAAGTTCATGGAGTACCGGATCAGAGCTTATGTGAGCGTACAATCGATAGTTTCTTTCGATATGGTCAGCAGCGTTGCCATTTTAGCCGTTTTCCGGCTAGATTTAGCCGGTTTTGATAGCAACTAGCCGGAGAAAATTCGATCTAGCCGCCGCCGCGGCAGCCGATTTGTTAGCCGGTTTGTAAAAAAAAAGTTAGCCGTTTTTAGCCGATTTTACCTAATTTTCAGGTGCAAAAAGTAAACAAGTTGTTCGAAAGCAATAATGCAGACCCAATGAAGATTTTTAATGAACTCAATGTTTTACTTTCGCATCTATGCTCCCTAGTGGTTATTAGCGCGGACACATTTGATCCTATATGCTCCCCGTTGGAACCATACCTTGCTCCATTTCCTCAGTTTTATCACAGTTTTGAAGAGTATTTAAAAACAAAAGTAAGCACAAACGCTTTTGACCACGAAGCCGAGAATATGGTCGCTATTTTATTATCACTTTAATAAAGGAGTTACGCCAACGCCTCCCTACAAATATTGCCACACTAAAAAAAATTGACTTTTTTCGGTTGGAAATGCATTAAGAGTAATTAAACCAAAAGTATTCGTTCAACTACAGCAACAAAAACACAAATATAATGCCGACGAAATAACATCCATAGAGATGCAATAGCAACGGTTAACGTTACATACCTGGAGTAATTTAGACTCAACTGTAAAATTTTGGGCCGAAGTTTATCAATTTCGAAATGCCCTAGTAGAAAACCCTTTTGCTGACCTTTCCAACCTAGTTTTTAGTTTTCTTGTTTTGCCTATAAGTAATGCAGAAGTAGAGCGAATATTTAGTTCAATGAATATAATAAAAACTAAGCAAAGAAATCCAATGTGCGTTAAAACGTTAAACGCTATTTTATATATAAGATACGGTTTAAAACGTGAAGAAAAATGCTGCCATAATTTTACTGTAGATGACGATCTCTTAAAATTAATGGTCCGTAGTCATAGTCAAAATAAAGTCGACTTTAAAGTTAGTTGCAGCTTTTTGACATAATTTTCAATGGGATATCTGTCAAAAAAGCTGCAACTAACTTTAAAGTCGACTTTATTTTGACTATGACTACGGGCCAATGAATTCAGGTGATATATACAATAGTGATTCATTTGATGATGAGGAATATACACTCGATATAAATTAATGGTGTTAACTAGTCTTTCGTTTCTTGCGATTTATTTAAATAAAGCATGTGAATTTTCACTAAAACATTTTAGCCGTTTTTTGCCAGAGTCTATGTGAAATTTCACTAAAACATTTTAGCCGTTGTTAGCCGCTTTTTTTTGCCAATCTAGCCGGTCGGCCCAAAAAGTCCTGGCAACACTGATGGTCAGCCATTTTTAGCAGGGGTGGTTCAATGTACTAGGGAAGCATCGATACATCAACGATTTATACATCGTGTGGCAAAATATTTGAATCGAAGCAAAACATCGAAGTTATCGACGCATCGATGTTTTTCCGACATTCCTATTTGGTGCAGCAAAGGATTTCTACTATTCCAAATCAAAACTTGCTTCAATATTATTTGGTTGATTAGCTAATATGCTTTCTATTGATGACGAAGATCATTCCTCCGGAGATAGTGCTTCGGAAGGTTGTATTAACTTTGTATATTTTAAAAATTTATTCCAATTTCAACCTAATTTTCAATTCCCTATAGAATTTTCTGATTCTGAGTTCGAAGATGAGTCCAGTATCGACTACGCAGCGTTCAGCGCAAGATACATGGGAGAGATTACTGATTTGTTGGGCACACATAGTCATGTAAATTGCGAGAACGCTTTGTTGCTTAACCAGGAGATGCAACAACGTTTGGTAGAGGTGCGAAAACGTTTACAAACTTTGTTACAATCCGTACAGCTGCGATACCTTGCCAACGAGCAACGATTAAAGATGAATCTGGGGAAGAAGCAACGAGGTGTTGGTATACGTGGCGCATACCTGAAGGGCGGAACTTTTTTTTTCAAAGGGAATATGTTTTTCAAAGATCTTAACTGTCGGAATTGTCCAAACAATGAGGACTACGAATATCGGAGAAATGTAGAAGGCGAAATGTTCCCTATGGACTTTGAATTGTGCAGTAGACATGTTTGGTCACTATTAGATAAAAGGGCTGTGGTGCAAGCTGTAAAAGAGCAGGTGAGGCTTGCTATTCTTTCTTAAACTTATAATATGTTTGTGGGAATGGCAAAAAGAAAACCGATTTAGTATAATATGAATAAAGTTGGGCTTTCAACACCAGCTGTTACTGCTTATTAAGAGCGACATACATTAACGCGCCGTGCGGTTATAAACACGAACCAAGGTTCGTGCATTCCCACAACTGTCGGATCTACATATTTTGGCCAAGGACTGATTTCCCGAGCATTTTTTTTTTGCGAAATTTTTGTATGCTGTTACAACAACTAAAGTTTGATTCCTGCCCGACCAAGATATAAAAATAGAAAAGTTTTTCTAACAGCGGTCGCCCCTTATTAGGCAGTTTCAAACCCCTGCCAAAACCATATGCCGTCCGGAGGTATCCTTAAATTTGTATTATAACATCAAGTCGCCACCACAAAAATTGGATAAGATCGGCCAAACAAACCCTTGGTAAAAATGTGAGCTCCAAATATTTTTATTTTTAATACTTTAAAATAGGAGTATTTTGGAACTATTATTACTCAATTACCGCTAATGCGTCCGCATTTAGTAATTTTACATGGTTTGGACTGTTGCTCTAGGACACCCTATATATATTTTAGAAAATAAGTAGTTTCACCGCATGGTAAAAAAATTACAAATATTTGTATCATGTTCCCTCGTATCTAATAGAAATATTTTGTACATTTTTTTACATGATTCAATTATCGTGCATTTTTTTATACTGTTGGGAAATTTATTGAATACTCTGCTTCGTGGTTTCCAAGCAACACTTAACAGTTTTCAAAGATAACCGGAGTGACCCAGATTTATATATGGTCAACGACTGCCACTACGACATCACTCTTTCAAGTACCAAAACTGGATTGACTCATCTGAAAGTCTGTTACGTGATATCCTATATCATATGTTGTCGTGAAGACATCCATAGGCTAAAGTAGTGGTGCAATACTATAGACATAACCATAACCGAGGCAAATAAATGTTCCGATAAAACGTACGGACCGCCCTGTAAACGATTATTGTTGCCATATTATAACGCCACAGCCATAACCATAACCGCATATTTTAGGTTTTCGCCATAACCATAAGCAGTTCTGAAGTATTTTGCTACGTTATGACACCTCTAATTTGGCCTTAAGTCAACAGTTGTTTTTTATATAAACCTTGCAGTGAAAGTAGAGACTCAGCATATTCTTTTTTATAATCCAATAGAAATATACCTCTGTAAGGTTTTTAATTCCTGGAATTTTTTATGAGCATACACTGTAGGTAGATAAGATTCTATCTATATATACATATTGTATTTTACCAAACTAAGTAATATATAAATATACATATATATGTATCCTTTAATTTTCTAATGGAACTCTCTTCGTACAGATTATTGATTATTTAGCTGACCGCAAATTTCGGGATAAAAATAATAAATCGAAAAAGCTTGAACTTGAAATAAAAGTACATACAGAGAAGGTGGCAAGCCTATTGGCACAAGTGGATGATAAATTCCAGATTGATTGGGCGCAGGTGTCTGCGCATAACTTAAACTATCGGCATTCACCCAGCAGTTGTAAAGCAATGTGGCAAGTATACTTACATCCCATACTGAAACGTAGCTCATGGACTGAGGTAGAGAAGAGACGTCTCCTTCAAGCAGCACGGAAGCATAATTATCAAAATTGGGAGATCATTGCAACGGCAGTTCCGAAACGTTCAGATTATCAATGTTTTATACAGTATCACACTTCTGTATGTTATACGGATACTCAACGCTATGGGCGTTGGGATAAACGTGACGACAAAAAACTTCTCGAAGTGATCGAGAAAAAAACAACGAACGGTATCGTAGAATGGAATGCCGTCGCTCCGTATTTCCCGCACAAATCGAAGAAAGCGTTACACCAGCGGTACCTATATTATTTGCATCCAAAGATTAGCCATGGTAAGAAAGAAAGACATTTACTAAAATTACCCTTTACTCAGCTTTTATTTATCACTTTTAGAACCATTTACAGCAGAAGAGGATCTCATACTACTAGCAGCAGTAGAAGAATATGGTGAAAAATTCGCTTTATTTCCGCGAACACTTTTTCCAAATCGCTCAATAACGCAACTGCGCATGCGCTATAGGAACACGCTGCAAACGCGACATAAACTAGCTCCCTGGACCGTGGAAGATGATAAGAAGCTTATGGAATGTATATCCGAGCACGGCACATCAGCTTGGTTACGGTGCGCTGAAGTGCTAGGAAATCATAATCGCATCAGCTGTCGTACACGTTTCGTAACCATACAGAAATTTTTTGTTAAAAATCCAGA